TTGATGGTGAAGAACACGATTGTTCCAAGTGTGATTATGCCAAATAGGTTGCTCACAAATGTGGTGAATATGGATAAGTGGATTTATGATTTAAATTCCCCTGAACCCGACCTAGCTTCTCAGATGAATCAAAATCCTCAACCTGCTGATGAGGTAGAAGAAGAAATAGATGCACATCAGCAGACAGCACCTCAACAGGATATACCAAGTACTTCTACTAGGCGCATAAGAAGGCCTCGTTGCCCGACTACTGAAGACCTTTATGAGGCAATGATGGATCAAAACCAAAGGATAATAGATATGCATGCTCAGCTTACCCGCCAATCCCAACAGGCCACTGATATCCAAGCTCAGCAAACTGCAATGATGCAACTCATGCAACAGATGCAGCAGCAACAAATTGAACAAGGAGCTAGGCATGAGGCCCGTATGGATACATTAACGACAGGAATGGGTGGCTTGAGTGTACGAATGGACGATTTTCAAGAGAGTCTGCGCCATCTTGGATTTCCTGGTTTTGATGGGCAGAGAAGAGGTCGTGGAAGAGCCAGAGGGAGAGGGCCTGAATGAAGATATCTCCTCCCATCCTTACCTCCTTTACCTTATTTTGAAACATTGAGGACAATGTTAGATTTAAGTGTGGAGGAGGAAACTCTATCATTTTATTCCGCTTTCTAGAATAGATTTATTTTTTCGCATCGTTTTTCCTTTCTTGTACTTTCCCTTCAACAAAATAATTTCATGTACAACTAAGTCCTTAATTGCTAAGTTCTCTTTTTTTTCGTGCATTATTGGATTTCCCCAAACTTTACAATTCTTGAGCCATAACAAAAAATATACGATTATCACACAACGCGATGTGTCCAAACGGCTAGCTAAAACCAAATATTCAATTCCGTTTAGGCCACTTGTGGAATTTTGACAAAATCGTTACGGTTTTGACATTTTAGAACTCCACCTTATGCGATGCCATTTTGGGTACTTATTATACCGCCAACCGCTAATTTTACTTTAAATAAGCCCCTAGTAGTTTATCTAGCAGTCGGCACCGTCAAAACACAAACTACGCAAAGAACCGATAAATATAAGTGAATGATCCGAAAGAGATGATGATAAAATAGAATTTTTTGTCGTGAAATGCCCAAAGTAAGTTAGGTGACCCTCACTCGGTCATTTAGCCCAAAGGATGTAATTCTCACAAGATAAAAGAAAACTTATTGTAAATTGGTTCAGAGGTATCTGGTACTGAACTTGGTAGGGCGGACTACGGACCGATCCCCCGCAATTTACAATTAAGTTATAAAAAGAAGGGGTTACCACTTATAAGTGCCAGAACCCCAAGAATCAACGGATCATAGTCGCTAACCGGTTACTTTGCTATGTGTGTGTGGAGATAAAGGGCTTAATGTGATTGCGCTTGAATGAACACAGGTGAAATTTAGTTTAAAGGGTTGATTGGTGTTATAACAACATGACTCGAAACGGTTTGCACAATTGGAGTACTCTAATGTCGTCACCGTACCTCTTTTGCGTCTAAATCTCTTGGCCTAATCAAAATTTACAAACTAGCTAGTTTGCGAACATCGTCGCGTGTGTTTAATTTTTCGCTTTTATAAACCGCCTTATCTTTTTGCTTGAGGACAAGCAAAGGTTCAAGTGTAGGGGAGTTTGATAACACAAAAATGTATCGCTCTTTAGGCCTAATTTACACGAGTTATTTGTACGTTTTTATCGAATAATATGCATCACGAAGTTATTTTTATTTGTTTTCAGGTAAATTATATTTTCCAAGGCATAAGATGGCAAATAATCTAAAAGGAGCAAAACAAGCTAAGAAATGGCAAGAAGAAAGAAGAAAAAAATGACATTCTGCTAAAAGCTCACACCAGAAGAGCGTTACGAGCGCAACGCCTAGCGTTACGAACGTAACACCTAGTGCACACTGTTACGAATGTAACGTAACGCGTTACAAACGTAACAAAAAGGCCTAAGCTGTTACGGACGTGATGATTTGCATTACGAACGTAACACCATAAAAACTCAGTCTATGCAGTAAACCACGAAGCAGCCCACACGAAGTCCACACGACCTCATTCCATCAGTTGAGAATTTAGTGCACGTACTGAAATAATGGAACATGACATTTACAAGAGAGAGCCTATATATTTGTTGAAGATTTCACTTTGAAGAGGGCGGAGAATTTGTTTTAGAACCATAATTTCCTTTTGTATTACATTACTTTGTTTTCTTGTTTTTAAACCATTATATTTTCCTTTCAAGCCTCTGTAATTTTCTAGTTTCCAAAAGTGTTAATTCTTCACATCGAAGGATTAACACACTTAGTTCTATATTTCAATTAATTGTACCGCAAAAGCTACTGTACAAATTCAAGATTACCACGACATTATAAATTACAGGTTTTTTTTATGAAATTCAATTTTCGTTATTTATATGCTATGTTGATTATTCTCATGAACTGCATTTTATGTTGCATGTTTGCTAAATACATTATGTCCGGCTAATTTCGTTTGTACCGGTATGTGACTCGTAAGCACCGAAGGAATCCGGTGATAACTTGGCTAAAATCTTTTATAAATAATTTCTGGTTTCCGATTTCCATATTTAATTTAACTACCCTTGTCACGAGAGTGAAAGGATATTTAACACGATTTTGCCACGAGAGTGAAAGGATATTTAACACGATTTTTCCACGAGAGTGAGAAATTAATTAAGGCAAAAACCTGCACGCGAGAGCTGGGGTTCGACCCAGATAGTGGTAACGAAACATTAATTTTTAAATACATGAGAGTGTTTTAACAAATTAATTAAACTCGAGTTATTTTCAAAAAGTGTTATTAAATTTAAAGTGCATCCACTAGGTTTAGTAGCATAACTTATTTCATGAACACGAGAGTGCATGTCTCAGGTTTTTAAACAATTCGTTTTTACCGAAATACTTTATATGCCAAGTGATTCACCGAGTTCCCTAAGTCCGACTATCACATATCGGTATAACTATTACTATTGCTTTTAATTAAAACCTTTCTCCCATAAAACCAAATATTCATCGCTTAGTTAAACATTTGTAACATTAGATCGTATGCGATTGATCCTCAGTCTCTGTGGGTTCGATAATCATTTAAAACTAGAACGACTAAATTGTATACTTGCAGTTAGTATCCCGATAGACTCATAAAGTCCCGATCAGTTGTTGATTTGATTTTTTCTCCGATCTTGAATCGTGAGTTTCCGACCTCTGAGTTGTCAGTTTGTTCTTGTTCCATTGTCCAAATCGCGAGTTTGCAGCCCCGAGTTGTAGATTATCACATACAATTCCACAACAGTAGTTTGTTCAACTTCTGTTCATTTTTTCTGGTGTCTTTCATTCGTGAATCTTCACCATGATTGTTCTCTTCATTTTACACAAGATGTGTTATTCTCCATCAGAGTTCTTATTCACCTTTTGCAAGTACGCTTAGTTAAGCATCACTTCCACCTTTTGTTCACCTTGGTAGATAGGTATCATAACTTCTTTTTCCTTTGAGGAAATCCTTCAGAAATATCTAACCTTTACCTGCCGAAACTTGTTAGTGGAGGCATCTAAAGAAAAAGTCACAAAAAAAAAATCTACCAGTTCTTCGGAGTGCAAATTTCCGGGTTCTTTTAGTATTTAATTTTATTCTACCATGAATATTCGAAAGGTTAGCGCCAATCTCACCTTCAGGTTGAAGACGATTAAATAGGGGCAGCTGTTGCACCCCAAAATTTGACCTCATAATTTCTTTTATCTGGTTTAGGCTTATCATTGCATTTGCACATATTCCATTAGGTCATTAACATAGCATGTATTTTCATTCAATAAAACACCTTGGTTCAAAAGGTCAGCGGTCACGCAAGCTAGGGTTTCTTTTGGTGTGAGGTGCACATATCCAATAAGTCTTTATTCTTCGGGGTTTTTCTTGAAGCATGGATTAGAGAATTAGGGTTTAAACCGATTGGTGCTTAAACTTAGCATTATTTCAACTAAAGATTCTGAGAATTAGGGTTTGGCATTCATGGATATCTTGAGCATCCCTCAAGTTGATCTTCATCTAAAGGGTTTCATTACTACACTTCAAATCTTATCCTCATCTTCAAGGAATTCTAAGGGCGTTTCTTTTGTGATCTTTGTTCATCAAGAATTACGAAACCCCGGAAATTGGTACAAAATGAGAAGCAAGAAATTATTTATGATCGAGGCATGGTCATAATTTCATTTGCTTGTGGCTTGTCATGCAAGATGCTTTTGGGGCATGAAGATAAATGCATTTGAAATTTAAATTGCGAACTATAGATTGAGAAATGAGCTTGTGATTTCTTTGAACTAAAACGATTTGTGTTGCTTGATTTGGATATGTTCGTTGAGAAATGAAGTGGACTTCAAGACTAATTGAATTTCATCAATCGTTTTGGTCATTAAATTGTCAAAAAGGTTAATTCAATAAGATTGGAAAGCAAAGGCGTGTGGATTGTTTAGAGTTGAAGTTACAAGTCACAAGATTCAACATACATCATTTGTTTCATTCACAATTCATCATCGTTATTCGAATTTCACACATCATTCGTCATTCACATCATTCAATTTCAACATCAACATTCATCATTCAATGTTCACTCAAAGGTTCATGATCATTCAACCATAATTTTTCTAAGCATCATGCAAAGATTTTCAAGCAATTCATTACAAAATACATCAAAAGCATTTACATCAAGAAAGTCATCTGAATCTATTCTAATCCCTAAACTAATTCCAACTCCATGTCCAAGTATTCAAGCCTTCTAGACCCTGATTCATTTCCAAATTCAAACCATTACACCACTAATCCATATGTCAAGTGCTCATTTATAAGCCATTTCATTACAACACAAGGAAATTTCACAATAAAAATCTACACTAAACCTGGTGTTCCTAACTTCCTAGTTTTCAATTCCATGTCCAAGTTTCACGTTGCAGCTTTGCTTTATGCCTTATCCAAAATTAAATCAAAAATAGCCTTGTTGTCCAAAGCCCATGCAAAACGTTGCAACCTGTCGTACAAAACAAAAACCTGCATGAAAGGTAGAAGCCTACGCACATAATAAGGACACATAAGTGCCAAAACAATTCATCAGAAAATTAAGAGCAAAAACCAGTTTGCTTCTCAATATTAAATCCACAGTTAAACCAAAAATGCCATGCATAACTAAAAACCAGTTCACAATCAAAACAGTTCAAAAACCCTTGCCAACACTTTACAAACGTGCACAAACTCGATAAACCAGTTCGAATCTCAGGATATAAACTAATGCCCTGCAAACCTGCATAACCAGAAAATTCATCATATGAGTATCACAAGTAAACCAGTTATCCAGAAAACAGAATCAGACAAGCCATGTGCTCAAACAAAACTGACTTACATCACAAGATAAACCGTGACCTTGCATCAATTTCCAGCTCAACATATTTAAATCAGAAAAGACTACAACAGAAAAACCAGAAAGTTAGGGAAGCAGATAAGAAAAAAAAGGAGAAATAGAATTTCCATCTCATTCCAATACCAGATTCAACCAACTTTCTAACAGAGTTTTCTAATTGAAAAAATCAGGGACAAAACAGCAGATAAAATCAGAAAGGAGAACTGTGAGAATAAAAGGAAACTTCCAGCAGAGTCCGAACAACTAACTAACTGCTACTAACTAACAGTTTCTATCCTAACAAAAAACAAAAACTAACTCTCAATCTCTAACTAACAGAATTGTTGCAACTAACCTATAACTGTTAAAACTGATCCAAGACTTTTTTATCTGTAACTAACTCTAACCAACTTCTAACCATACTAACTGCAACAAAACTGAATTCAAGAAGAACTACAAAAAAGGATCACAGAAAAAAGAAAACAAAAAAACTCACCATCACAGTTCATTCTTAAATCTCTGGAGGATCTTCACAAAAAAGCTCCAGAAAAACTATCTCTCTCTACAATTCCTCGCCATTCTTCTCCAACTCTTCAATCTTCATCTTCATCAATTTTGCACAACTGTGCTTCATTCACCATTTCTTTCAAGGATCCAACAATCGGTAATCATCAATCACTTCCTACAAATATCCTCAGCTGCTCCAACCTTCAATCATCATCATTAGCATTCTTCTGCAAATCGCCACAACATCATAATTCACGACAAATGCAGAGTAGTGAATTTGAGAAGGGGTAGAAGAAGAATGAATAAGAGATCATGAATGCTTACTAGAGTTTCTCACTGCCGACATTAATGAAACTCCATCAGAGCGTCTCTGATTGGTAACCTTCGAAACTCTTATCTCTTTTCATTTTTGCTATCACAACAGAATCTGTGAATTTGTTGGTTTGAGGATGATTTGAAACGGAAGCAATGCGCAATGAGATATCCGCGTGAGATGAACACGAGCATGACGATCTGAGTCGATAATGGAGAATATTACTTGAAGCAGTGAGAGGGCGGTGGAGTGAGATATAGATACAGTGGTGCAATGTCGTTTCAGCGAAGCAGAGAATGAGAATATTGGGTGACACAAGTCGCATTCAAAGAAGAATCACGGTGAATCGTGAATAACAGTGAGGAGAAACGATGGGGCTGAAGATGATGGTGATGAGAAGAGAGAGATTGAAGAAGGCGCAGGATCGGAGGTAAGTCTCTGAGGTCCACTTACAGCAGAGAATAGAGGAGGCCGCAACGCCGTTTTGCAAGAGAAGAAGAGAAGGAGATTTTTTTGTGTGTTGAAGGAGTGGAATAGCTATAACAGTTAACCCTAACCCTCTTTCTACTTTTTCCTTTTTTTTTGAATTTGTCATTTTCTTGTTTGTTTTTTTTTTAATTTAACAACATCATATTAATATGAAACAAAATGTGGAAGTTGGATAATAAAAAGGCCAAATAAATGTGAAGCTAATGGTTTTGTGAGTATGGTTAACTGGACCGGATTTTATTCCTTCAAAGCCTATTTTTTTATAGTTTTTTTTCCAGTCTACTGCTTCATAAAAAAATACTATTAGACAAATGCTTGGGCCTTGCGCCTGATTTCCATTCACGCCCTGATTTCTTCAGCACCTCCTGCTTATAGGCTTGCACCCCTTGGATTTATTCTTAGTATTTTCTTTTAAATAATTCTGTGAATTGTTTGGATTTGATTGAACTTTTCTTTTACATGATAAAAATAATAAAGTCAAGTATAAAAAATTTGTTAGTTTTTATGTGATTTTAGGAATTAAATCCTGATTATTCGATTATATTTGAGATTGGTAATTCACCTTTTCTTGTTGAGATTTGAGTCTTGTGCAGGTTTATTGTGTGATATGCGGATATGCTTGAGATTTCGATTGTGATTTATTTTCACATCGATGATGCTTCAACACTTATTATGAGCATTCGATTTCTGACTCTTTTCTTTAATTGGTGAAGCTTTTCGCGAAGATCGTCGGGTTTCTTTATTTTGATAGGCTTTGCTACGGATTGATATTCGTTTGGTATTTTCCCTTGTTTATCTCATTTCAGTACTTTACTGTTTTTTTAGAAATCATGAGAAGTAGGAAATAAAGAGAGTGTGCTCAAAGTCTCTATTTAAAGACCTATAGCAGGCATTCCGCACTTTATTTGTTATATGTGTTGTGCTTGTGTTTGTTTACTTTGTTGTTGATCGATGAGTCACTCAATTTAGAAATTAAGATCACGACTTTGCTCTCAGTGTATGCTCCCTATAGGATTTTATCGCTTTCCTTTATTTCTTGTTGATCGATGAGTCACTCAATTTAGAAATTGAGATCACGACTTTTCTCTTAGTGCATGATCCCTATATGATTTTATCGCTTTCCTTTATTTCTTGTTGATCGATGAGTCACTCAATTTAGAAATTGAGATCAGGACTTCGCTCTCATTGCATGTTCCCCGTAGGATAGTTTTGTTAGAATTTCTTTGGCATGCTAACCTAGATAGGATATATCTAGGTGTGATCTCTTGAGCTTATTTGCTTGTTTGTTTTATTTCATCTTTGTGTGCATGTTTTGAGATGATTTACCCTCGGCATGTTCCCTTAGGAGCTCTCGATTTAACTATAGATGATGATTCGAGATAGACAGAGTTTTAGGTGATAGCCCCTTGCTATGCTCCTTTGGGACTTCTTGATTCATCTATAGATGATGATTTGAGATAGACATTAGAATTGTATCCAAGCATGTCAATCATAGGGTAGAGGTTTCCCTTCAAAACTCAACCATAGGACCGTCATTGTATGATAACATTAGGGATAGATTTAGGCTAGTCTCCCTTAGATGTTTTCTTTTCTTTTGCATCCTTGCATTTAAAACAAAAGCTTTCTCTTTTTCTTGGAAAATATTAAAACATCTAACAACTTCCAAATCCTTCTTCAAGGTAAAAAATATCAACCAATGCAAACTCTTTTTGCGCCTTCGGGCTTTTCTTTAAAACTTTTCAGAAAGAACATGTTAATTCACTTTTGTGCTGATGCGTAAGTCTCCAAAGGTCGAGTTACGGCTGAAGGTGAAATTAATATTGTTCATTAAAAAATACAAACCAACAAAAACTTTTGAAGTCGAACTACGGATGCTCTGATTCCTTAAAAGGGATACATAGGCATCGGGGTAGGGCCCGAACGAGCTCAACTTTTATTTTCCCTACATTCTTTTCTCTTTTCTTTTGAATGCATTCCTTGTACAACTTAGATATAGATTGTAACACACCCATAATATAGACAACAAGAGTGGATACTGTAGAGTACTACGGGCGTGTGGGGTGCTAATACCTTCCCCTCGCGTAACAGACTCCCTTACCCGTATCTCTCGGTCGTTTGATCGTGATTTCACCCTTCTCAAGTTTACTCGATGTTTACCTTTCCCTTATTGTGGGATAAAAAACATTTGATGGCGACTTCATTGATTTCATTATCAGTTGATTGTTTAGCTGTTAGTTTCAGCTGGCGACTTCACTGGGGAAAGATTAACCTATTTCTGGTCCATCCCGAAGTCGATCCAAGCTCTTGCTTTATTCTCTTTGGGTGTTTATTTTTATGCTTTCAGTTTATTCATTTGTACATGTTTATATGAGAATATGTTTGCATTGCATCTTTATTGTTTTCCATATATTGTTGTTGTGTTGTTTTCCGTGTTTCTTTGTTGGATGGGTGTTACTATGAGGTAAAAGGCCAAGTACCCAGGTGAAGTGACAAACAATAGGAACACTAGGAATATAGTGGAATATGACAGATATGGGATGTAGATTACCCTAGACGGTTGTATCGTCCATGCTCAGATGAGGTTTTAATGAGTTGTTATCATTATCATGTAGGTGTATCATGATAGTACTCTTAAGCGAACCCGTGATTTTGAGTTACCATTGGCTTTACCCATACTTAGTCTTGACCCATGAGTGGGGCGGGAATATGATCTTTACAGGTACAGATGTTGACTATGTTCTGATGGTGACCGTTGGTATGTTGGTGACTATGTGGGTCTCAGATTTATTTTTTTGAGTTTCTGGATTCGGTGTTCAAGATGGTTCTTTGGTTATGCTCTGGACCTTTAATCCTGATATATTCATATTGTCTAGAGTTTATACAACGGTTATTCATGGTACTTGGTTCCGTTGTGTTCTGAAATTGGTGTCGAACCTTTAATCATGTGATATTCGGTATTCAGCAGGTGTATACATCAATTATCTAGAGGATTGTACATATGTTATCCGATTGTACTCTTGTTATCCATGTTATGCTGAAATTTTGAACCTATGGTGTTGCATTGCATCAATCATTATAAGAGTTTATTTCTCTTATCATCCAAGCATTCTCATGCATTTCATTCATTTCAGCCTGGATATTCATTGCAACCTGGTTTCTTATTCAGAATCTCAAGACCGTAAGATTGACTTCCAGACATCGTCGTCATCATTGATCAACTTCAGGCAGATATAGTTGAGATGGGAACTCGTATGGAGACTCGGATGGGCCAATTCATGCAGCTTATTCAGAACCTCACCCTGGGGCAAGAAGAGTTGATACATAATGTTCAGAGGGTCTTTGTTGCTACTGTTGATCACGTTAATCCACCAGGTGTTAACCTTAACCAAAGGGAGGTTCCTTTGGATCAGAATGTCAAGAATACTGTTCATATCCCTATCAACGGATCTCCTCACCATGAGAACAATTTTGAGTCATCATATGAAACTTTTAGGTTCCCAATTGATGGGACTAAGTCTTAGAAAAAGCTTCACCTCCTGGAGGAGAGGATGACAGCTATTGAGGGTCGTAACACCCTTGGTTTAGACGCTGCTAGTTTGTGCTTGGTGCCTGGTATCAAGATTCCTGATAAGTTAGAAGTCCCCACTTTTGAGAAGTATATGACTCACATCAAAGCATATTGCAATAAGATGGCTCCTTATGCGGAAAATGACAAGCTTTTAATCTACTTCTTCTAGGATGGCCTTAGTGGAGCATCTCTTGAGTGGTATACTCAGCTTGAAAGAACTAACATCCAAACTTGGAAGGAATTAGCTGAAGCTTTTTTCAAGAAATACAGTTACAACAGTAACATGGCTCCTACCAGAATTCAACTTCAAGATTTGACTCAGAAGGCTGATGAATCATTCAAATAGTATGCACAGAGATGGAGAGAACTAGCTTCCAGAGTTCAACCTCCTCTTTTAGAGCGAGAAATTGTTGATATGTTCTTAGATACTTTGCAAGGTCCTTATTGGACGGTTGGATGTGCTTATGAATTTTCAAAAATGATTATGATAGGAGAACGAATTGAGCACGACCTTAAGACTGGTAAGATCCATAATGTTACTACTACTTTTGAACTCCCAGATCAGAACATCGAAGAAGCTAGTGTAGTTTCCGAAGACGAAGAAGCTCCCATTTATACTTCATCTCAGATTCCTTGTAAGGTGAGGGAAGCTACTTCTAGCCATGATGATCTATAGATTTGTGTTGTAACTATTAACCAACCAGTCATTCAACTTATTCAATATACTCCTCAAAAAACCTATCGACAGAGACATATGCAACAAGGTAAGCATAGGGATAGGAAGCCAAAGAGAGTGTTCGACATTGTTCCTGTGACTTTTGGATAGTTATTCCCTCAGTTGCTCAAGCTTTCCTTGGTGGAACCCAAGCCATTGAATCATGTCATTCCTCCTTATGATGTGGATTTTGATCCTAATGTGCAATGTGATTACCACGCTGGAGCACTAGGCCATTCCATTGAAGACTGCAGGGCCTTCAAAGAAAATGTGCAAGACCTTCTTGACGCAAAAGCTATCAATTTCGGGCCAACCGGTCAGATTTGAAGTCTCCTTTGACTCAGTTAATGTCAAAACTATGAGATCATCGTCTGAAGAAACCATTCCATACGGAGACTAGTCTCCTCAACATGGAAATTTCTAGTTTCATATGCAATTCTCATTTGTAATCTTTCTTGCTTTGGTTCAGTAATTTCTTGTATGCAAAACTTGCTTATTTTTTAATACTAATCATAATGCATTGAGTATGTTTGTCTTGAATAAATCCATTCGT